GTGTTAATGTTTTGGTTAGTGTTCAAGTTCTGGTTAGTGTTAATGTTATAAGTTAACACACACACCCCTCACACAAACACACACACACACAAACAAACAAAAAAAACAGTTGAGACATTTTCAGAAACCTTAGCCTCTTTCTTTTCCCAGCAGTACCTGACAGAGGAGCTACACACGGTGGAGAACTGCTACCATGACAACCCCACGCTGGAGGTGATGGAGTCACAGCCGGAGATGCAGGAGAAGAAGGTGGTGCTCAACGGGGAGTTCAACGATAGCTGGATCGTCCCCATCGACAATATGATTAAGGAGGACATCCCCGATGAGGAGGACACACACCTTTAAAGACAGCATGGAATAGTGTGATGGGACCAGAACCTCCACGATCCCCCTGCCCTCCAGACTCGTGTTTGGAAATGTTCTACAGAACATCTGACCAGTTTTTTTCCATGTGTTCATGCTGTCAAGTGTTTTATGCGATAGTTTAATATTAATATTGGTCTTTTATTTCCAGCATTTTATATTTTTTATGATGTGTAAATCTAAAACCTCTTAAGGAGTCCCTCAGGGTAGCTTAAAGAGAGTTGAACAGAAGCACCAGAGAGTGAATTTTAATTAAAGGTAAGTTTGTCAATGATTTCATTTGCATCATGATTAGGTCCAGAGAACCAGGACCATCTCAGAACTCAGATTTTAATTAGAAGACATGCTCTGATGATCCGAGCACGAACCTTGTTCAGATGAGGCCTCCTGATCGTATGATGAAGTCAGACCAGAGTCATCTGCTGCTCCCTCACAGCTGGTTTTAGTATAGTACTTGAACTAGGCTCAGTCAGGTCCACTTCATCCACACTCACAGCTTCCCATTATTCAGATGATTTTTAGATTCTTGGGGTTTGCTCTGTCCTGGTATTCATCAATCGAAACAAGGTCAGAAAATCAAAAGTAATAAACGCTTTCGACCTCAGGACCGTTTTTGTGAGCCGAGTTTTCAGAATCAGGACAGCAGAATCTGGACCAGGTTCTGTTAGCAGTAGGTGTAAAGACAAGCTTGTTTCTCTCTCACTTCATCAGTTCTTCCAAGTCAAAGCTCAAATTTGATCCTAGTTTTCTGAACTGGAGTCAGACTGAAGCAAACACTTGAGTTTTTAAACAACGTGCTTAAAGTATTAAAGACGACTGGACTGCGGCTCACTGGGTCACACCTGAACATTCCTTACCTGGTGTCTGAGCCAAAATCCAGCTTTAAGTTTCTTCTTTTTCGAGACGAATTCGCCCAAAGACGTGGAACCGGATGATCCAAACTGACCCAGTTCTGAAAGATTCACTGAAGTAGCAGAACAATTGAAGGAATACCACCCGCTGTCTTTTGTGACATTTTTAAACAAAAATCAGCCGTTTCAAAACTTTTGATGTTATGATCTCATGTGCTGATGAGATTTGCAAGACGTTATGTCTCAAAGCATGTTGAGGATGACTCTCAGCTACTACCACCACACATTTAGCTCAGTATCATGCTTGTGTTTGCTAAGGTTGACTGTAGCAGCCATCTTGAATTGGGTTTCACGTCCAATAACTTTGTGAAAAGTTTAAATAAAATCTGTCCAATGGTTCACGAGGCACTATGGGTGTAGTACTACATGTATTTGTACCCAACAGTGGTGGTACAGAGGAATAGAGAGACCAGGCAAGAAATACTTTGCTCACAGCCAATCAGAAGATACGTGGAGACAGAACTATTGGAGCAAAATATTTTCTCAGTTGTAGGATTGTGTGTCTGAACCTTCCTCAGAGTTAAAACGTTTCTCAACAAAGAAAAATCAAAACAAGGCTTGTTCACAATATCTTTTAAACTCAAGAGACTTCAGGATCGCTCAGCATCGCCTGCATGCAATCTGCACCAAGACTCAAGAGATAAATTAGTTACAAGGACAGCGTGTTCTGAAGAGCTAACAAAGGTTTATGTGTTGCCAGCAGTCGTTTTACATGGATTTGTGTTGATGTGCTGTTGGGTATGACTCTCAGCTACAACCACACAAAATGGTTCACATCTGTAAAACTCAGCTGTGTCAACATTCTGACATGCATCTGGCAGAGCTAAAAAAACTTCTGGGGGTTCTATTGAAGCCATAAAAGGTGAGCAGTGAAAGTATCAGGAAGTGGCAGATGGTTCTGTGATCCACACCTTGAATTCAGGTGGTGTGATCCAGTTTAACAGTAACTTCAGCAGAAAGTCCTGTTCCTCCCTGGTAGGTGCTGAAATCCAACCTAGAAACCACTTTGAAGACAAGTCCAAGTCCAGGTTGTTTCATTTTTATAGCACTTAAAAACTTGGTTCTGTGGGAGAGAAATGTAAAAAAAACTGCTTTTATGTTGTCCTCTGCTGGTTTCCTCTCATTCAACTCAGTAATAGATTTACGTTCACAGGTTTCAATCGATAAGAGCACTCAGTCTTTTTTCTCCTATATTGTATATTTGTGTGTAAAGTTATTGCATGTTTACCAAAGTATGTAATCATTTTGTTTGTATTTATGCTTTGTCTGCAGACAAACAACAGGAGTCTGACACACTGGAAGTTGTAAATTGTTGATGGGCACAGCCATCATGTTTTATACCGCTTTTTGAATTAGCAAAAAAAATAAAGTAAAATAAATAAATAAATAAACAAATAATAATAATAATTATTATTATTATTATTATTTTTTCCATGTCGTTCGTGCAGTCTTCAATCTGTGGGGAAGAAACACAGAATGTACAAAAACCATGATGAAAATACTTTATTCATTATATACATTAAATACAAGGTTTCCTACATTCACTGCATCCACAGAGTGGTTCTCATGGACTGGAGACCTGTCCAGGTGTCTCTGTGATGGACTGGAGACCTGTCCAGGTGCCCCCACCTCTTAACTGCGGGACGTAAGACACCACGAACAAGGAAGAAGAAAAAAACTGTGGATAAAAATATATATATATTAAATGTAGGGATGAATTTGCCCCTCCCATACCAGTTTGAAATGTTAGTAATAAAGTTATGAATAGTTGAGTTTAAAGATGGCTGCTGTCATAAATATAAGTAAACATTTAATAAGCTTGTTCGTTCCGAGGACAACCTCGTGTATTCTGTTGAAATTAAAGAAACAGCAGCGTGAGGATGGCGCCCCCTGCTGGCAAAACTCAAAGGACTTTTCTTGACTCGGCGTGTGAAGGATTTAAACGCTGCCATCTTTCAGAGACAGCCGTGACTTCATGATGTGACGTCGCCCGTTCCAGTTTTCACAGCCGTGTGCTGTGATCTTCTTCAAGGGATTGGTGTTACATTTTCTGCTAACCGTAGACGTGTTAGGAAAGTGTAGACCTAAATGACATCTTCCTTTAACAGAAAATTAATGTAAAGAAAAAACATTTAAAAACAACCAAACATTTGTAAGCTCAATCATACAGGTAAATCAATACAAAACAGGTTAAATCGTGTCATTTGGACTTTCTCCCAAAATGATCTTGTCCAGATGACGAGATTTAACCTGTTTTTGTAAATAAAAACTTTTTTTTTCTTCCCCCAGCTGTTACAGGGCAGTTGCTGAAATTATTATTAACACGGTAAAACCAAAGAGCAGTTTGAATCATGTTTCACTGCTGGTTTTACAGAAGACGTCCATTAAAGCGGTCAGTCCCTAAACCACCATAAAAATTAAAGATTTCCTGGAGAAAGTCTGAAGTTTATCTGTGACTCGGTCGATGCCATTAGAACCATTTCCTGTTCCGTGTGTTGGTAATGTTCCCTGAGAAACCTCACAAACAGGAAATCCTGAAGCCTGGACTCTGGTGATGCACAGTTCTTCAAAAGTCTTAGAGCAGATCCAGGTGTCTACAAGCAGTACGCTGATCCACCATATAACTGAGGGGTTTGAACAGTGATGGTTTAGAGATTTTAATGTTTCTGGACGGGGAGTGAAGTAAACTTTAATGTTTTCAGTCAAAGACATTCGAGCGGAGAGGAGTTGCTCTGTGGAGAAGAGCAGGGGGAGTTTTTGTTTTTTTCTGGTCCGAGGCAGCGCAGAGACGGATCCTGGAGAGGAGGGAGGCGGGCGGGGGCCAAGCCCCCCTTAGATGAATCTTCAGCCACCCCAATCACTGGAAAATGTACTTTTCGTCAATATAAAACTAGAAAGCAAAGTTTCCTCAAAATGATGGCCAGCTGGCCACACGTGCACGCAATCGGTGGCGGCCATGTTGGATGTTGACATGACAACCCACTTTTTGATCGTGATCTTCCCTTCTTGCACATAGATGCAGCCACACACAAAAATTATGTTGGTACGTCACTTGTTTCTGAAGTTAACGTGCTCATAACGCACATGGACAGAAAAATGGAGACCAAAATAAATAAATGAAAAGGTTTTGAAACGTGTACTTCAGTTTGTGTATAAAGAACAGGTGTCCAACCCATTTCCTGCCTTGTGACTCATTAGAGATAATTAGCTCTTTAAAAGCCTCGACTATGTTAAAACCTTTGACTTTTAAGGTTATGCCGGCCAACTTATTATTTTACACCAAGTCTCATTCTTGTTCATCTGTGAGAATTATTTTCATGTTTGGCTCAGATGTTTAAGCGCAACAGGACATCTGCAATTTAAATGATCGGAAGTAAAACTGAATGACATTAAGGTAAAACTTTGAAAGCTTTTTTCTGGTGATTTAGATTTTTTTTTTTTTTTTATCTCTGTCCAACAAACATGATTTGATGGTTTACTTGTACAACTGTCTTGAGGTTTTAAGTTAAAATTCACAAGCTTTGTTTCCTTTTTAGTCTGGAGTGGAACTGATCAATAATCACTGATCATCGACATATGAAAAGAACCTTACAGGGTTTGTTCTCTTTCATGAAAACAACAAAACTCAAACGTCATGGCCACACCTTGAAACAAACAAATGTGTTTAAAGTAGTCATATTTTTTTTAATAAAATAGTTACAAAAAATTGATCAGTTTTGGAATTTTGGTAATTTTAGAAATATTTTTAAAACTAATGAAACTGGTTTTGACAAAGAGGACGGCACCTTTGAAAACAATATCCCCATAAAAGATAGAATTTGCTGACGGACGTGTTAAACTCTCTTGTAAATGAGTCTCAATGGGATTCACCTGTAGAAATAAAGGTTGAATGAAATCAGCATGTCAGGTGTCTTGTCTGTTTAAAGGGTGGCAGGTAGTCACAGGGCTGTTTGGTGTCATGGTGTGTAACACACGGAGCAAGGAGCACAGGAAGCAGAGGACACAGGTGTCAATCATTGTCTTTCTGAGCTCAGCGACAACATGTTCAAAGTAAAAACTATCAGACCGTCTCCATCAGCTTGATGTTCCTCTGACTACAGCTGCACACGTTATCCAGAAGACTGAGGTCCACAGGACTGGAGACAACCTCCCTGGACGTGTCCACAAAAGGACAACAAATTAAAGAGATGGACAATATGAATGGTGACCAAAGAGTCCAGAGAGAATTTTTGAAGAGTTTGGAGGTGAATTTCAAGGTCAAAGGTCATCAGTGTCACGTTGCACCATCCATCACCATTCGAGTCAAAGTGGACTTGAAGTTGAGCTGGAACTTTCTAAAATGCATGTGGACAAAGCACAAGCTGGAGGGAGAACGTTCTTTTAAAGATATCCTGATGCATGCTCAATAATCCGGGTAGAAAAATCTAAAAAAGTTAAATCTGGTCCTCTGGAATACAGCACCTCAGACTGAGGAAGTCCTCAGGATGAGAGATGAAACGTTTATACATTTTTTTGTTGTTTTGCTTTGTTTTGGTTTTTTGAATGTCCAGAGGACCAGATTTAACTTTTTTAGGTTCTTTTAAAGACAAATCAAAATGTTTGCTTTGTGGCAAGAAGTTCCAGGAGCTCCGTGTTCACAGACCCAAAAACAAAGGAACGACCATGGAGGAGGCTCGGGTCGGACCAGAACACCTGGAGACAGGTGCACGAGTCTCACACTTACACACAAGGCTCTGGATTCCTGTTTTTAGTTTTCTACATTCGCCTTAGAATCTAGCTGTTAGTTGTTACTTTTCTTTTTTTAGCCATCCTATTTGTAAAAAAAAAAAAATGTGTATGACTTTTTATAACTGTTTATTGTTATTGCTGTTGTCCATTGTTGTCATCTTTCTTTGTTGAAATCAGGTCTCTCTTGTAAATGAGTCCTCGAGGCTCAATGGGATTAACCTGTCTAAATAAAGTTGAATGAAAAAAAAAATGGTCACAAATATAAATATTGTGTACCATTTTTATATTAACTATCAAGTTGTCCTTTCTGTCAGATGTCATTAGATTTTTTAAAATAATTCTGTTGAATCAAAAACAGTGACTGAATTTCATAAGTTAATTTTTTTTAGTTTGTCTTTTGGTCAGTTTGTTTGTTTTCATGACCCTTGTGGAGATTTATTTAATAAAAGGTTAGAAATAAATACAATCATGTGCGTATTTGAGGACGCCGCCAGCTGCAGTTCGGTTTGTTCAATGAGTCGTAAACTTCTTGATTCTACAGAACTCAGATGAGACTTCTGAAAACCTCTAGAAGAGGGGTCCCCCAGTCTTTTTCGTCATGCAGCTCCTTTTAAAACGACCAAGTCAAAGTGATCTACCTGCTATAAGGCCTCGTTTACACAGAACAACCTCTGGTTGTTTGTGTTTTTTCAAGTTTTATTGGGGGTAATAAACAAAAAATGAGTGGGTTTACATGAAAACACTGTAGTTTCCATGTCAATCAGGTTGCCAGATAAGAAATGATGAACTACAATACTGTGGCTTTAAATGATAGCACTTGAGCTAAACTGTCATATGTGCTGAGTAAAGATATTCTAAGATGAAGTATGTGCTGTGTTGAACATGTGCACAGAAAAGGAGAGGGTACATTTTAAATTTATCTGGCAACCCTCTTCGTGCATGCAGCATCTGCATGACAGTTAGTCCAAACTGGTGAATACACCAACGTCTCTTTGGAGCCTGGAGTTTATTAGTTTTGCTCTTACAAGCTGAAGAAGGGTGAGAAGCACAAAAACACTCTGCTCTCTGACATTTATTATAACTGTTGTTATATTTATTAAAACTGTTGTTATATTTATTAAAACTGTTATATTTATTATAACTGTTATTGTATTTATTATAACTGTAGTTATATATATTAAAACTGTTATATTTATTATAACTG